GCTCCAGCTGTTGCAGCGACTTGGGGAGTGAATCATCAGATGGAAGCTCTTCCTCTCTGTCTCTCCTCTCTATATATCTGCCTTTCCAATAAAAAATAATAAATCTTTATTAAAAAGTAAATAGTGTGTATAGATTACTAAAATAAACAATGTTTAAAATTTTTAAAAAATACTTTGCATAAATTGATGCTGAAAAATGTGTTTTTAGTTATGAGAATTGTACATTATAGGTAAAATTGGATGTATCAAATTGTTTAAATAATGACTTTTTATAGCATTATAATTTGGAGGAAAATAGATTGTATTTACCAACTTATTTTTCCTTCAACTATTTACTATGTTTCCGGTAAGATAAAGCAATGGTGAATGTTCATGTACACAGTGCTAGTAATCCACAAATAGTCCTGTCAGTTAGCAATAATAGCTCCTCTTCAGAAGAGTAGGCAGTTTCAGAAAGGCTTAGTGATTTGCACAGATAGTCGACCTGCTATAATGTAGCCTGTGTGTGACCAAGCCCAAAGCTTCTGCCTGGATCTCAGGTGCTGTCAGGTCAGAAGTTTGAAGTATGCCATTAACTAGGATCTTGCATCACCCTTCAATCAGAGTATACGCAGAGTGCCAAAAGCGCCTTGCTGTACCATGTGCTAGCTAACCTTTTCATAAGATGGGAGTCAGAGAGAGTTCCACAGAAAAGGGTTAGAGCAATGACAATTTTCCAACCACACAATGTCACTTACTATTTAGTATTTTAACAAGTACAATCGTACCGTTAGTGCTAATCAACTGTCAACCATAACATAATTAGGTAATTGTGGTGTACCAAAACTAGATGCTGCATTATTTTAGTTTTTTTTTTTAGATTTATTTAATTTTTATTGGAAAATCAGATATACAGAGAGGAGGAATGACAGAAAGGAGGATCTGTCCACTGATTCATTCCCCAAGCATCCTCAAAGGCCAGAGCTGAGCCAGTCTGGAGCCAGGAGCCAGGAGCCTCTTCCCAGCCTCCCGCATGGGTGCTTGGTCCCAAGACTTTGGGTCGTCCTTGACTGCTTTCTTAGGCCACAAGCAGGGATCTGGATAGGAAGTGGGTCCACCTGGGTTAGAACCGGTCTCATATGGGATCCTGACATATGCCAGGTGAGGACTTCAGCTGTTAGGTTACTGCACTGGCCCTATTTTGTTTTTATCCATATATGTTTAATGACATTGTTATGGTGAGAAATTTCATTTTCCACCATTTTATGCTAAACTATTATTACAAAATTGTGTGGTTCAGTTGCAGTTGCACTGATCAATTGATTGAATGTTTGATCAATTGTCAGTTAACATTGATCAACAGATAATATTTTAAATCATAGTCTTTATAGTCTTTTTTTACAAGTTGTGAATTTGTCATAATTTGGAGAAATAAGTTGATACATTATCAAACTGTTATTAAAATATCGGCCACAGCATATTCCATAAAGGACTTTGGGATTTTCCCTGTTTCAAATGTGAGTTTTCTTTCAATTATAATTTTCCTCTTGCTATGAATAAGAATAAAAAGTGATTATTTTATCTAAACATCTGTATTCATAAAATAGAAGCAGCAACAATTATTGGTATTTAATCCTCCTTCATTTTTATGTTGTAGAAAATTATGTCAATTACAGGTTTTAACCAGTGAATATTTTTTTTTTTTGGTATTGCTGTGTGTTATAGAATTGGGTTAAGTAAATATGTTAATTCTAACAGTTTAGATTGAACCATATAACATTATCAATATTTGACATTTTAATAAGGAAAAGAGAAATTTCAACTGGTTCCACCCATTGAGGATATATCATATATTACCAATGCATTGACTGATGTGAGACCATTTGTTTTACTATTTCCTCAGCGTTTGAGCTGAATATTTCATTGCTACTGAGTATATTTCCATTGTGCTTCAGACAGCCAATATAATAGTATTTTTATATATTTGATATTTTTGCTGAAATGAATCCACTATGCTGTGTTTTGCTGCTACATACTGATTTGCAGTTTTCAGTACCAAGTTTAAAATCTGTATGATATATAGTTATGTGGTACATTTTATTATGGTGTTTATAGCTAAAACAGTTGCAGTAAAGAATCTGGAAATCATAGCATTGAAATTACCAATTTATTTAATTTCTATTAATATATTTATGGTAATTATTATTTCAAGGTATATGTGGAAGGTACTGTCAAGATTTAACGTAGAGCAAGTGCCTGATAATGTTTTGATGGAAACATTGGGTCATTATTTTTCTGCACAGTCATTTTGGCTATAGGCTCAGAGAAGACTGAAGAAGTGTGGAAATTCTTCATACATTTTCTATATTACTTTTAAATTGTCTTCTCTGAAATCTAAGATGATACTCCATCTATTTTCTGTATATTTTTTAAATGATAGGAATGTTTTCTAAACCTGAAAAGGTCTCTAAAAATGTGAGTGACTCAGATGCCCTTTATCACTGTACTGTTTTGTATTCAGATTTCATTTTTTGATTGTCCAATTATCTGCCAGTGAGTCAGTAATGGCCCCCATCTTTGTTTACTCTTTTAGGTAATTGGTGTCATCCAGACATTTTTGTTGCTGATAAGGATTTTCTGTATCATTGAATCAATGAATGTGTTATTTTCTCTATCAGGACTGTTTGGCAGTTTCGTGTAATGTTGAGCTATTCTTGGTGTGATTTAAAATATTCTCTGTTGATATGGATAGCTGTTTCCAGACATGATAAATCCGGAATTACTGCTTTCTCACAGGATTGCTCCCATTAAGTGGCTTCCTTTGCTGTTTATGAGAGCCTGCACTGAAATTCTGCAGAAACTCTGAGTCTAGCATTTCCCCAAGGCACCAACTGCACTAGGGCTGTGGTCACTTTAACCTGCCTCCTTTGCAACGTGATTGAGGATGCCGAGACTGATGCTCCTGTTCCTGTGCATTCGCACTTCCTGTGCTGCTTATTTGATTCTCTCTGGGGAGACATGTAGGAGTTCTCTCATTTCTTACACAAAGTTCCAACACCTCTCCCTGCAATTCTTTTGTGCCGATTGGAAATTATTGTACAGTTTGTTTTGGCTGTGGTTTCATTCTGATTTGGGTTTCACTACATTTCACTCTTTGGTAATTCTTTAGTATTTTGCAGGATGAATTTATATGTTGCCTATTTGACAGCTATGCCAACTAAAGTCTCTTACCTGAGGCTTTATTTCCAATAACTATACTGTTCATTTTAAAGGATTTTGTTTTTGTTTTTTGATGATCTTAAAAATATATTTTAGGGGTGAATTAAACTGCCATCTGGCATAGGCATCCCATTTCAGTAAACCAGTTCATGTGCCACCTACTATGATTCTTTCTTTGTTTTTACTTTTTTAAATTTATTTTTGTTTATATTAAATTTATTATTTTTAACAGACTCAAAGTAGTTCATAGATACAGTTCTAAATATGACCTTGTCTTTCTCCCTACCCCTCTGTCCTCCTTGTTTAAAATTTTCAAGATAGCATCTTTTAAATTTATATTGTTTAAAAGCTTAATGTTTCACCAAATAAGAATTATAACAAATACAAAGCAAAATGACTCTAGGCCACAAAGAGGGAGCTGGATGGGAAGTGGGGCTGCTGGGATTAGAACCTGTGCCCATATGGGATCCCGGCATGTGCAAGTCAAGGATTTTAGGAACTAGGCTACTGCTCTGGACTCTATTGTTGAGATTTTTAATTTACTGATTCTTTTTTTTTTTTTTAATTTAATCCTTTGTGAGATAGGTAGCTTGCAAACATTTTTTTTCCAATCTCTTTGTAGTCTCTTCACTCGAGTCATCATTTCATTTGCTATGCAAAAGCTTCAGAGTTTCATATATTCCCTTTCTTGTAGTTTTGCTTTTAATTTTGCTTCTGATCTAGCTTCCTACAAATGCCCCTGAGAAGACCCACCCTCATGGGAGACCAGGGCAAGGTCTTGGTTCCTGGCCTGAGCTTGGCCACTGCTGAATATTTCAGCCATTTGGGAAGTGAATGAGCAAGTGAAGATCTCTCCCTCTCTGTTGCTCTGTTTTTTAAATTTAAAGTAATATGTATTTCTTAAAAGTATTTTCTTAAAACTAATTTTGCAGATGTATATCTTATATAACTGGTTTTACCTTTCATTGTCACTGTCATAAATATTAAGAGGATGTTTACATAATACAAAATATTATAGTGCAACATGATCTTTACACATAAGCAGTTTGTATGATAATTTCAATGATAAATAACTGTATTTAAAACATACTCATATTTTGTGTATTAAATACATAACTGCATTTTAAATATCTGCGAGAAAGGGGTTTTAGTCTGTCATGCATGCTTTTACAAATGCTATTTATTTTAAAATTGTCTATAAAACTTAATTTTAAACATTTCTTCTGTCATTAGTTTCACAAATATAGTCTTAATTAACAAATACTAATTAATCAACCTACCAAAGCTTATTAATATTTTTAATTCACATGATTTTTTGCTTTTATACAGAGAACGTCTTCTCAGAAGATGTTTCCTAAGTTAGAATTTCTGCTGTAGTTAATGCAACACAGTACTAATTTGGTCAGTTCAACACAATAGAGTGAATTTTAGACCTATGATTAGCCTTACTATTACTGTGTAAAACCTGATAATTTGTGTTCTGGATATCTTTTCAGCCATTGAAGATTTATCCTAGCCTAATGCAGTTTACCTTTGGAAGAGGGTTTTTTTTTTTCAAGTGGCAGTTATTTCCAATAACTGTCTGGAGTTCAGAAATGGTATCATAACACTCTTACAACTACTTTAGGATGTTCTAATTTTTCTTTATTAGAACAACAGTATTGGTCTTGCTTTTTCTCCCATCATAATGTCATGGCCCGTTTTCTATTTTCTCTTGAGAAGGAACATCATTGTTTGTTGTTGTTTATGTAAATCCTAAATATTTTGCATTTTTATTTGGAAATGTGTTTATTTTTATGTTCCTGTGCACAGTGTTAGTCCAACACCAATTCGTGTTATATTAAAATGTTACCTAATAGATTGACTATTGGAACAATTGGATTCTGCAATTTGCTATATTGATTTAAATTTGAAGCATTCATGCTATTCTATTACCTCCTTATGAATCTCTTTTGTCTGCCTCCAAAAAGAAGGCAGTACAGCTTGGGTGAATGCTGTTTTTAAAAAAACACTGTTCTTTGCTCATAGATTTTTCTATGAATAAACTCATCAACTGGGATTAGAAGGGCTGTATCATGATTCAGTGGGAATTTGCCTAGTTTTCGTTTGTCATCCCAGTCTCTTACCTAGTAATTCTGTCTATATTTTGAACATAATTCTGAACAATGAAATCAACAGTTCATATTGTTTTTCATCCCTTCCCTTTTCCTCTGTTTAGAACTTTGCGGCATTGAAAAGTATTTCATTCCTCTAATAGTCTGGAAGTATAGATAAGTCCTTGTTGGTGATCATAATGATTAAAAGAAGAATATGATGTTTGAGAAAAGAAAATGAAAGTGGATTGGTGATGAGGGTATAGGGAAGCCATCAAAGAGCTAAGATTGCTACTGTGGAGAAGTAAACTTGGAATTTGAAGCTATGCTTCACTGAGGAAGGACATGCTACTATAAATGTTGTAAGGGAGATAACATAAACATAATCCTAATTATACTATTTTTTAAACATGTTTTTATATTTTGTCCTTGATACAGCTTTAAAAGTGTGGGGAATCAACAACTCTTCCCCCTCCCAGGTCTAAAGAGGCCAGTATTTGAATAAAGGCAGCAAAGCCACTTATTCATCTGTTAGTTACTAATATCTGTCTGCCTAAATAAACATGTGTAATTAGTAAAATTAGGATACATATATAGTATTTAATGACATTGTAACAGAAATTCCTGAAAGGTTGTAGCAAACATGAAAGAATAAATGGAAATGGTTAGTAAACTTAAAATACATGGATTATCATTGATCAGATTTTTCACTTGCTGTCTTATTAAATTTGTGTTTTAGTAAATGTAAACTTAACACAAGATCCCCATCATTCTTTCAACTGTCTCTACATTATATTCATTTTCTGACCTTCAGGTCACAATTCTTAGACTTCAAGAACCTTGGCTTTCAGGTCAGAGAGCTGCTATGTAAAATTAAAGTAATGAATGATCCTGCCAGCACATTCACTGGATGGCAAATCTATTCGAACATAATTGACTTCTTGTTAATGATCCCAATAAAATAATGAAGCTAACATTGAATTTATTATCACTAGGATGCTAATATCCATGTTATTTATACCATGACACTAAGTTGTGATCTTTTCTTGGTAAAAGCTCTTAAGATATTCTCTAATAAGTGTGCAGAAAAACCACTTACTAGCATTACCAAAGTTATGCATGTAATGAAATTAAAATATTAGAACCAAAATGAATTGCTTCTTGGCCTTTTGGCTAAGATTAATCGTAGAATCAAAAGGAGTATCATTCCAGCAGAGGAGGTACCAGGTCTAGATTAAGTGGACAGTTTAGAAGATGACAGTGAGAGAATAGATGAGAGAATATAAAAAAGCATGTCTTTCCTTTTCCTAAGGAAAAGGCTACATTAATACTTCTGTGGACAACTGGAATGAAGACAAGTTTATTTACATAAAAATTTTATATCTACGCATTTTTTTCATAATGCACAATTTCCATGAATGTGTTGAAGATTGTGCCTATATGTGAATTTCAATCTTTTATATGAAAGAAATTTAGCTGTAATTCTAACTTTCCATGAAGCTTTCAAAGTACCTTGTACTGATAATACCTTGAATACCTTTTTTGAAAGTTATTTTTAAGATTTATTTATTTTTATTTGAAAGACAGGTTTATATAGAGAGGGGAAGACAGAGATCCTCTACCTGCTGGTTCACTGCCCAGGTATCCACAATCACCGATCTGAGCTGATGGACAACCAGGAGGTAGCAGTTTCCTCTGGTTCTCTCAAGTGGGTATTGAGGCTCAAGGACTTGAGTATCCTCCATTGCTTCCCCAGGTCATTAGCAGGGAGCTGGATCAGAAGGGGCAGCTGGAACACACACCAGCACCCAAATAGGATGCTGAAAGTGCAAGTGGAAGCAGTTGGACTGTCTTTAACAAAATCTTTGATCCGCTGACTGGATCATAAACCCTTTTACTATCTTCTTCCATAAGCACACTGTTGTTAATTAAATACAGCATGTGTTCGTACTCGTTGAACATATTCCTTCCTGTTCAGCTGGTTGGCAGCATAGATCAGCTATCTGTGACCACTTTACGTAGGGATTTAAAAAAAAAAAAATCCTAAAGTTGCTCTATGGCCTGACTTTGTCTCCAAGGCAGTAAATGGTAAATCCTCACCTTGGATGCATCAGGATCAAGTATGGGCACTGGCTTGTGCCCTGCTTGTTCCACTTCTACTTCAGCTCCCTACTTGTGGCCTGGGAGAGCAGTAGAGGATGGACCAAAGCTTTGGGACCTGACACCTTCATAAGAGACCCAGGAGAGGTTTCTGGCTCCTGATTTCAGATCAGCATAGCTCCGGCCATTGCGACCACTTACGGAGTGAACCAGCGGACAAAAAAAATCTGTCTCTCCTTATCTGAATTCTGAATAAAAATGCATAAATCTACATTAAAAAAAAAGAAAAGTGGAAAGGAGAGGAAATGGAAGGGAAGGAAGGTGGAAGCTAGGAAAGAGAATGAGAAAGGGAGGGAGAGAGAAGGAAGGATCAAGGGGAAAGAAAGACCCAGAAGAAAAGTAGAGCCCAAGTCAGGGAAGGATGTTTGTATTGCTTGTTGGTTTTTCAGATACCAACAGAATGAAGGGCTTGTCTCAATTGGAAATCCCAACTCAGGGATTGCTGTCAGCCAGCTGACCTTTCATCTTTTAAAGCTGTGTTGTTTTCCTGTCCATTCAAGTGGGTCAGCATCAGGACTCTGTAAAATTTCATGTATGAGTTTGGAGAGCAGACTACTGGGCTGCCAAGAAGTCAACAGGGTGTGGGCATTGCCCAGATGCATTGTTTTATTTCAGGAGTGCAACAAATGGAACGAATAGTATCATTCCAAGTTAATTTGAAGATCAGATAAGAGACTAACATCCCTGGATGAATTTAAAAGTATCTTGTGCAAACCTCCCTAGCATTTGCTAATAATTATTTGAATCTGTCATGGAAAAGGGAATATGTACTCTAATTGACACTGCACCTGTTTGATCCCCTGATTTGTATAATAAAGCTAACTTGGACCTGAATGACAGGAGGCCCCACTGAGATTGCTTCTGACTGGGCCATACACCAGTGTGGGGTTGGGGTGCATATTGTGTTGTAGGGTTAAGGCAGTTGGATAAGTGAAAGAAAATTGGGGCATGAGGAAAAGGTAAAGGTCTCATTGCTCCTGATGATGTTTTTGGCAAGGAGAAAAGTGAAGTGATTGCAGCCTAGGTCGTGCAGAACCACTTATTAGGGGTCATCCATATGGCTGCTCTTTTGTATCTTTTAGAACTCAAATCAGAGGATGATATGAAAGTTGAGGGAGTTTTTGGGGAAGTCTCAGAAGTTTGGTAGTGTCAGGTTTATAGTGGGAGTGTTGGCATGGTAATTATATTGTAATCATAGTACATTTAATTATAGGTCATTACAGGGACACAGGGTGCAGCCATATTGATTCTTTTTAGTCAATGCCTGTTCTGAGTGATGGTTTTATTGAAGCTGTGGAGAGATGTTGGGTTGAAGTAGACCAAGATTATGAAAATTATGTGCTGGCCTCAAGTCTTCCTTGCTAACTGCCTCCTTGCCTTTATCAGGTTGGGATTAAGTATTGATTGGGAAGTCTAAGAGATAGTTACCCTTTAATCAGCAGAATGCTGAGATAGTTGATTTCTCTGCTTTTGGGTTTTCTAGGCAACTTAAGTGTAATCAAGAATATGTTTTTGTAATAATGTTGGACTGTGTCTATGTATGACATCAGAATCATTGTATTAAAAGTATACCTCCCAAGCATTTTGCATGGAAACTTACATAGCCAGTTAATATTCATACTATATAGTCTTCAACTTTATGACGTTTATCACAATCTCTATTCCACTGACTGTCCAGATTCTTCTAAAGGGAAAATTGCGGTATTTTTGCTGTATGTTTACTCTGCACTTGTCCTGTGATGCATACCTTTCTTTGTCCAAATATATTAATGAAGGTCATGAAAATGACCACGTATGTTTTTATAAATTATGTGTCAATAAATGAAATTTATATCTATAACCTCAACTTCATGTTTTTTTTCCCTTTTTGTTTTTTAGATGAACATTGAAAATGACAGTTTCTGCATATGGGAACTAAATATTGAAGCTTTATGGTTTACACACAAGATCTTTAGAAATTAGAAACTCCAGGTAAGTTATAACTGTAACCTCATAATTTCATTTAAATGACTCAAGTTGTGAAATTATTATTCTTTTTTCCTTACTAAGCTTTTTTTTTTTTAAGTCAACCTGTGTAAGGGACATCGCAGCCACATTCATTCACATTTAGGTACAACTTTTTGGTCCACTAACATTTTGAAAAGAAGAATCTGAAATCTGTAACAGACATCTGATTTTTAAAAATGATATAATATTATGCAGAAGGCCGACCAACTGAAAAACTGTAAAATAAATAGGCTTCCATCACATCTGTGAGTACTACTCAGCAAAATTGATTTTGATAAATAATTAAATAAAAGTCCTTCATCTACTGCACTGCATTACATTTAATGAATCAATTTCTTTAAGCATGTTATTTTTTCTTTACCTGCTCCAAAACTCCCTGTCAGGGGTTTCACATATGCATAATTTATATGTGAAACTTATGCTTATATGTGAATCTTAATACCACTGAACCCAAAGCTCTTCATTGATTTGTAACTTGCCAAAAAAATCTGACCAAACATAGCCTCCAGCTAACAAATTTGTGTCTGCTTCCTATAGCTGCTTACATAACCTTAAAAAAATTGTGACTGTATTTTGATATAATTTCAATTAATAGAATCAGGTCTATTTTAGGCAATGCTACCCAACAGATAAGACAATAGAAGCCTTGAGAATACATTACCTATTAAATTAATTACTCCTGTTTTTCTCTATGGTCTTAACTAAGTAGAATGAGAGACAGTATTGTCATATCTTGGAATTTTATTCTGAAGAAACAAGAAATAAATATTTGGAAAACCCATTTTCCTTATTTTTTTTCAACATCAGTTTCTTGTTTTATTATTGTTTTTTGATATAGTTTAGTTGTTGCTGGGGTCTCCCTTCCCCTTTCCCAATTTCCATCCCTTCCCCTTTGTTCTCCCCTCTAGTTTCACAGTGGATGTCATTTGTGAATTTTCATCATGCTATCACTGGAGTATATCCCAACCGTGTAAGAGATTGTCAGTCATTTCATTGTGCATTCATTCTTGTATCCAGAGCCATATTAAGGATACAGTGAAAACTAGATCTTTGTTATTTATGGGCAGTACCAATAACAGTGATAAAAGGGACATTGACCGTCTCAGGTAATTATAAACAATCAGTCTCTTATGGATGGTTAATTAATGAGTTATATCCGGGACCTGGGGAGGGTGGGAAAGTGGGTGGGCCTTCTCCCTTAATACCCCCCTTTAAACATGAAGGAAACAATATGGGAAAAAAAATTAATGAGTTACATCACAAAATCTTATTACAAAAGATTCAGGTAAGAAGGAAGTGATATAAGACTCACATGTAATATCCCTAGGTTTGACGTCATATTATCTTATATTAGAGCAAACATATGATATCTGACCTTTTGGGATTGGCTCATTTCCCTTAGATAATGATCTCTAGTTTGGCCCATTTGGCCAAAAAGTAAGAATTCCTTTTTTTTTTTTAATCGCCAAGTAGTATTCCATGGAGTGGATGAACCATAGTTTCTTTATCCAGTCCTCATTTAAGCTGCTTCTGTGTTCTTGCAATTGTTGATTGTGCTGCAGTGAACATTGGGGTGCATGTTGCTTTCTTGTGTAACAAATCTTTTAGATATATTCCTAGAAGTGATACTGCTGGATCATATGGTAGGTGGATTTTTAATTGCCTATGTGTTCTCCATACTGACTTCCATGGTGGTTGCACCAGCCTGCAATCCCACCAGCAGTAGAGTGGGATTTCATTTTCCAAGTAGCCTTACTGCAGGTGTTGTTGATAGTTTACTGTATGTAGGCCATTCTTACTGGAGGTAAGTGGAACCTCAGCATTGTTTTTATTTGAATTTCCCTTGATACTAGGGAGCTTGAGCATTTTTTCATTTGTCTGTTAGCCATTTAAGTTTATTCCTTTGTAAAGTGTCTGTCCATTTCCTGTGCCCATTTCTTGACTGCTTTGTTTGTTTTGATGCATGGTTGTTCTGGAGTTCTTTGTATGTTCTGGAAATTAGCCCTTTTTCTCCCGTGTAGTGTGCGATGTTCTCCCATTCTGTTGGTTGCCTTTTTACTTTGTTGATTGTTTCCTTTGCTGTTCAGAAGCTTCTTAGCTTTATGTAGTCCCATTTGTTTATTTTGGTCTTGACTTCCTTTGCTTTTGATAATTTTTCTAGGAAGTCAGTGCCTACACCTACTTATATCTTGCAGAGTATTTCCAACTTTTTGTTCCAAACATTGATGCTTTCTGCATGTAGCTTTAGATCTTTTATCCACTTAGGTTTGATCTTTGTGTATGGCGAAAGGTATGCGTATCCTTATTTCTGCAGGCTATTAGTTGTCCCAACAGCATTTATTGAAGAGACCTTCCTTTTTTCCTGGTTTTTTTCCGTTTTGTTGTTGTTCTTGTTGTTCTTGTTGTTGTTGTTGTTTAAGATTAGATGGTTGTGCAAGGGGGTTCCCTTCTGATATTTCTATTCTACTCCATTCATCTACCTCTCTGTTTCTGTACCAGTACCAGCATGTTTTGATAACTACCACTATGTAATATATCTGAAGGTCTGGGATTGTGATCCCTCCTTCTAGGTTCTTATTCTTCAAGATAGTTCTGGCTATTCATGGATTTTTGTGTTTTCAGATGAACCTTTGTATCATTTATTCAGCTCTATGAAGAGTATTCTTGGTATTTTGATTGGAATCATGTTGAATATATATGTTGCTTTTGGTAATACGGACATTTTGATGATTTTTTGACTTTGCCCATCCAGAAGCATGGTATTTTCCTCTACTTTTTGAAATTTTCTATTTCTTTTCCTAATGTTTAGTAGTTTTCCTCATAGTAATCTTCAACATCCCTTGTTAGGTTTATTCCCGTGTATTTCATTGTCTTCTCTGTTATTTTAAAGGGTACCGTGCTGGTTAGTTATTCTTCAGCCTTGGGGTTGTTTGCATACATTATGGCTGTTTATTTCATTTTATTCATCTTGTGCCCTGCCATTTTTTTGAACTCTCATATAAGTTCTAAGTCCCTGTATTTGGTCTCCTATGTATAGAATCATGTCATCTGCAAACATAATATAACTTGACTTCCTCGTTTCCAGTTTGAATTCGTTGATTTGTTTTTCTTGTCTGATAGCATTTAAGAGTACTTTCAATACTATGTTAAATAGCAGTGGTGATAGTGGACATCTTTGTCTAGTTACTGATCTGATCAGGAAAGTTTATAATCTTTCCCCACTCAATATAATGGTGGTGTTGGGCTTTTCAAATATTGCTTTGATTATATTGTGGATTGTTCCTTCCAAGCCTACCTTATTTAGCATTTTTAGCATGAAGTCGTGTTGAATTTTGTGAAAAGATTTTCTGCATCTATTGAAACTATCATGTCTTTCTTGTTCTTCAGTTTTTTTATGTGATGTATCACATTTATATATTTACGAATGTTGAACTTTGCTGCATGCCTAGGGTAAATCTCATTTGGTCCGGATGAATAATCTGTCTGAGGTATTCTTGTATTCTGTTGTTTAGTGTTTTGTTGAGGATCTTAGCATCAATATTCATCAGGGATATCAGTCTGTAGTTTTCTTTCTCTGTTGAATCTCTATCTGGTTTTGGTATTAATGTGATATAGGTGTTATAGAACGAATTTGGAAGAGTTGCTCCCCTTCTATTGTTTTGAAGGCTGTATGGAGGATTGGGGTCAGCTCTGCTTGGAATGCTTTCTTGTTACTTGACATGGGTACCAATTGCAATAAAGTTGTCTTTTAATACTGCCTTGGTGCTAACCCACAAGTTTTGGTATGTTGTGCTTGAGTCTTCGTTGGTTCAAGAAATTTTTTATTTCTTCTTTAATTTCTTCTATGACCCATTGTTCATTTCAGAAGCATGTTCATCTTCCAAGAGTTTACAAATTTCCTGGGATATTTTGATTTATTGATTTCTAGTTTCTCTGCATAATGGTCTGAAAAGATGCATGATATGATTTCTGTCTTTTTGAAGTTGGTAAGACTTGGGAAAACTCTGTTTCAATTATCAGCCTACACTCTTACCTTTGGAAAAAAAATACATTTTTTCCATTGTGAGCCAAGTGAAAAAAGTTGACAAATTCTGCTGTATGAGATTTTTTGGTTGTTTTTTCCTCTGTATGTTTTTTTTTTCCTTCTTGTTAATATATGGTGAGAGCTTAGTGATTTTTTCAGCTTCTGTGATAAATATGGTTAGAATAACTTGTATTTGAAAGAAAAGTGATGTAACTTGATTGTAGTTCAATTCTACTCTTAGATTTCAAAAAGTTCTTAGAAAATTGGAATTAAAAGTTCAGGGGATTTTAGTTCATGTTTTGAAATGTATACATAGTTTTTCCATGATAAGCTTCTTCCACAAATATTTTGAAAATTCCTCATACATAGTGGGTTAGATCAGCTCTTAAGGAACTAATGCAGCACAGTGGAATTCTGGAGCCTAAATGCTAGACTCTATACATGGTATATGCTTGCAATGAAAGAATCATGACTGGATGTGAACTGTAATACTGCAATAAGGTGGAGGAATCCACCATGGGGCGAGGGCGTGGAGAGGGGGTGGGGAATCCCAAAGCCTATGAAACTGTGTCATAAAATGAAATGAAATGAAATGAAATTTTTTAAAAAAAGAAAAGAAATAGATAGGCATATCCTAGATGGTGTACGAGACCAGGTACTTTCCCAGGTGCATTATGGGGAAAGTGGATCAAAAGTGGAGTAGCTGGAACTAGAACATACTGTGCCAATCTGCTCAGGATATAAATACTTCATTTTATGTGCAGTTACCTATTTCTAAATCTTACAAGCTGTGCTATTGCTGTCACTTCTTGGTCTGTGTCTGTTGACTGTCTTTCCTTGTATTTTTGAGCCACATTGTATTTTTTTAATGTTTTTATTTTTCTTGCCTAGATGGTCTTACGTGGGATAGTCTTTATATATATTTAGCATCATTTAAATA